CACGTAAGGAGATTCATTATGGAGTATATGCGACTTCTGAACAGGTAATATGGGTTTGTTCTTTTAATAAACAAAAATAGTAAAAAGTACTTTTTTCTAAGTTGCTTAAGATGGGCTTCATCTGCTTTTTGATAAGTAACACAATTTTCCTCTTCTACTGCTCATGGCAAAGACAAATTATATAAGAGAAGCTCATAAGGCAACATAGAACTCGATTATCCAAAGTCCGATTTTTTTGTTCTCAAACACAATAATTTCAAACTTAGAAACCTATCATATGGTGATTTGGTGTATTTTTCTGCCTTTGAGGAATCACAGTTTGAATATCTAACTCTGATCCACATATTAATTTCTTCTCTGTGGGAAAGTTCCAGATTGCTGCGTTGTTTACTGGACAAGTTTCATTTTGAGTATATGCTGAAAATCTAATTATAGTATGGTTGTTTTTAATTAGCATATTGGGTGTTTGAGAGATTTCCTGTGTTGTTTACTGGACAAGTTTCATTTTGAGTGTATGGGGAAGAAAATCTTACTCTAGTATGGTTGTTTTTAATTAGTATATTGGGTGCTTGTGAGATTCCCTACTGTACCAGAATGAAAATAAATGCAGTTCATCCCTTGCTCCTCGTCATTTTATTGGAAGCCATTTGCTTTAATTATGTATTTTTGAGAATTTCCTTGGAGAGTGTGTTGATATTTTCCCTTTGAAGGAAAAGTGATGAAGTATATACTCACTACTGCTCATAAATGCATTATACATCCCAATGATTGCAGAAACATACTCTATTGCTGGTGCACACACCCATTCTATTTTATTTTTGCTGGTGCAGTCGCCCATATATAATGTGTGTGTGTGTATTTATATATATATATATTATTTTTTATTTTGCTGGTGCACACTTTTAGATGAGTATGAGATGGTCAAACACTTAAAATAATTTATTTTATGGTGGTCGTTCTTAGATTAGGAGCGTGCTCGATGTTTATCATGAAAAGAAAGATTATCAATTGGAATTTTACCTTCTAAAAAAAAATGAATAAAAGAAAGATTATCAATAGGCAATTATTGTGTCCATAAGAGGATGGCTGAATGGTTAATGTATAGAAATAATTACTTGGAGATCTCATGGTCAAATCTGAGCTACGACACTTAGTCACTCTGTATGGGCCCATCAAATCTAGCTATAGCGAATAGGTTTACCTGACATCTCTGCAGATAAGTCGACTCTGACACCGACATTAGCAACTGCATTTATGCTTCAATCCCAAGCAAGTTGTGGTCGCTATTTGAATCCTCAATGACCGTGCTGCTCCGTTAAGCTCATCTTAGATAATAATAATAGTAATAACAAATATTTCTAAAAAGTATTGACATATTTTGAATAAATATTGTCACTTACAAAATTATCAGAATTTTATAGTCTATGAGTATACAAGTTATAAAACAATCTATAATCTTTACATTTTAATTGCTGGTAATGTAGTGTTGAGAATTGGATTTTAGTTTCTCTATACTTCCCATGACCAGCTATAGCTTAACCAATCTTCTCCTACCTCGGATGGTAATTTCCTTTATCATCCCTGTGAAGGTTGGGAAACGTGATATCATTATAATACTGATCTTTACATCTTAGTTTTATATTTGTATGAAGAGGACACACCTTATTAATATTACATGTAGGAGTAGAATTAGGCTGTACACATCTGTGTGAGACATTTACTTATTTGAATTATTTATTGAATTTAGGACATCATCTCTCTATATGCTTAGATACTTAATAGAAAACATTGATGCAAATTTCTAAAAAATAAATTATTTATTGATGCGAATTTTCAATTTTCACACTTGAAACTGTACTAGCCATTGAGCTGTACACGTTTTAAATAATTTTGATTGGAAGTTCAGGTTTTTACAGCTGGTTGATAATCTGGTCAGATCATTTGGTCAAATCCTTGAAGCTCTCCCCCTGTTCAGTAAAATATTATAACGTCATGGTATTCTTTCTCTTATATGGGATATAGTGTGGTCTTCGTGCCAATTCACGTGATCTGATTGTGTTAAACAAGATATGCCTCTTAACTGGGATTAGCTTTTATCATTCATGTTGTGGATTTCGCTGCCTATAACAAGTTACAGCAGCAGGTTTATCTTCTTACCTATATTTTGATTGGTTAGTTGTCTACTCTCTCACACAAAAAGAAGAAAGCATGTTCACCTGCGTACATCCTTACCAATTCTCGGGCTTGGTTGGGAGGAGCAAGTCCTTATTCATCCTAACCTTTTGGTGCCTTGCAAATTGGTTAGAGTTCTGTGCAAACACTGATATTTACATGTTTGGGAAGCTCCACGGAGGACTTTAAGTGTTAGCTTATTGAAAAGAAAAATTAAGAAACAAAAGAAAAAGAAAATACCTCGAATGTGAAATTTGGAGTAACTTTTGTATCGTAGAAGCTATTTTTTTAAGAAAGAGTATACTGTTTAGTACATGATGTGGTGTTGGAATAATTCAAGTGCACTTGAATTGAGTTGGGCAAAAGCTAGAGTTGTGTCCTTTAGGGTGGCCCAGTGGTTTGGGTATGGGACTTCCATGTTGGAGGTTTCAAGTTTGAAACCCCTTGCCAGCGAAAGCAAGGGGTTTGCCTTCTGGGTCGAGCTCATCGCATCAGGCTTGCCTAGTGTGGGGTACCTCTCTTGTGTTGTTTGCGAGCAATTGCATAGGAGCGGGGTTTTTTTCTGTGTGCACCCAAAGGGTAGCAGCTGCTGGTTTCCCTTGTCATTAAAAGAAAAAAGAGCTACCAGAGCTGTAACGGTCTTTTTAAGATGAGAAATCAATAATAATCCTTGTAAAAAGTTTTCAGCAAATATTGGACTTATTAACTGAATTGTTTTCTTTAAGTGCTTACTGAAGCTCTAGGACAATATCATTAATTTCAGGTCAATGCTGCTGGGGATCTCTGTGCTATTTGCCAGGAGAAAATGCATACACCAATCTTACTACGTTGTAAACATATATTCTGTGAAGACTGTGTGTCTGAATGGTAAGTTATCTGCACTTCTCTTCAGCCATTTGTGCTTTGACTCACTTTAAGCATGAGCCATGTGTTCTGGAAGTAACCTTTTGTTAAAATGAAGTTATCTCCCTTCTCTCGTTTCTCACCTACAGTAGTAATGAGACAACATGAATAACATAAGATTGCAAATAGCATATGAACCATAGACAAGCAGTATTTGATATCCCTTTCTTCAGTTTCATTGAGGTTATTCAACCTTGAATTGGTAATGGACTTTATTATGCCTAAGGCTAGGATCTTTCCTCTGACCCAAGCAAAAGGATGATTTAGTTTTATCAATTTTTACTGGATAGAAATACTCCAGCAAAAGTAGATGTATGATGTGTTTCTTCTTTGATATGATAAACTTCATCCTTCATCCCTGGAGCCAACAATTGCCCTTTCCGGATTAGATCCTTCAGTGGCTCGAACCCTCAACTTTACTGTCGGAAGAGAGGGGGGGGGGTCTTTAATAGAGGCTATATTGTTATACTTCTATATCAAAGTTAGATTGACTGTGAAATGATCTTATCTATTATGGAATGAAATAGGATGGCATCTTCCTTGCCGTTGTTTTTGGTTGACCCATTTTCTGTTGACTTTTCATGTTGCAAATTAACATATCGCAATTGTGCTTTCTGCTTATTCTGAATAACTTCTTGTTTCCTCTTTGTCCTATTTCATGCCTAAAGAACAAGCATGGAATAGTTCTCTTGAAAGAGAATTAGGAACATTGCCTTTTTTGGTTAATTTATTCTTCATCACAGTAGGCTTACGTAAAATGTGATTCTTTGGTTGCTTGATGGCTTTTATTTGTACTGCCAGGTTCGAGAGGGAAAGGACGTGCCCTCTGTGCAGGTCTTTAGTAAAACCTGCCGATCTAAAATCATTTGGTGACGGTTCAACTAGTCTCTTTTTCCAGTTATTCTGAAGAAATAATTGTCGATGAGAGCGAGTCTCTTCAAAAGCTGCCAACTTCACTAAAAGCAGCTATAGCTGAACCCCCCCCATCCATGGAAAGAAAGCCTATTGACACACTTATTTCAGAATCCTGATCTGTTTGCTCCTGAAAGTTGTCTAATTGGCTCAACGCAGGCCATTGTTTATACACAGTTCCACACATGGAGCAGGCTATTGTTCATACGTTTGCTCGGAGAAAATGTTTGTATCAGTCTATTAATCCACAGAATTGTCAAGTGTACAATGTATGAAAATAGTGTTGTAGTCAGATATATATATATCTTTTTATCCCCATGGCCAGTTAGGTTTCATCCCCTAAACAAACCTATACAGAAAAATGCTTATTTGTGCCTATATGTAAAAACAAGCTGGCATCTTTTGGAAAAAAGCATAGTCTTGGTTGGCTCGAAGATTTTTGGGACCATCATTTAAGTCATATCCGCAGTGCATAAACATTCGGTTAAGTTCAATTTTTATTTTCGGGTTTCATATGATTGAAGTTTGTTCAACCTATGATTTATTCTTCCAAAAATCTCTAAATTTGTCGCATGAAATTCTGTTCTCCTTTTGTCACCACCGCAAATATTATATAATTAAACCAAATGTCTACATAGAAGTAGTAACAATAAAGTATATAGGTATACAGCACACACATTAATTGTATAGAGTATCTCATATTTAATTGGAAATATAATATTACTCTTCTCAATCATTAGAAAATTTAGTACCGAGTTTATTTTTTGCAAAAAACAGATATGGAGTATCATTTTTTTTTTGTGGAATTCACAGCTCAATCATGGAGTATACCATAATTTTATTTTACTTTTTACTTATCACGCTTTATTTATTAATGTTCAATTATTATTGATATTTTAAAATATAATTTTTTTATCATATTAATATAAGAAAGATTATGATTTATATAGTATTCTAAATTAATTTAATTTTAATGATATTAAATAGACTACATGGGGACTACTAACCCTTTTCCACATTTCATCCCACTGTTTCTTCTCCTTTTTGTCTCTTGGCATTCACTTTACTACTTCTCCTCTCTCTCTCCTCCTCTCACACCACTTCTTCATCTTCTCCATTTTCCTTTGTTTTTCATGCTCTTTCATACCTAACTCATTCATCCTTTTCTTGTTTTTTTTCTTCTAAATACCAACTTTTTCAAACAATGCCAACTTGGATTTGAAGTAATTCCTCATATTTTTGTAAACCCCATTTTTTGTACAATGCCAACTTGTGCTGTCTGAGCTATATTCTTCTCTGGTATCAACTGAAGTGTTTGATGTCAATTTCAATCCTGGTAAACTTTCATTTTATCATTGAAACGGAATAAGGAGTTTGCATTATTTTTTTCCTGTGAAAAATCATTCAAAATTGCTAAAAATTGTTTTTAAGGGTTTAGGAATTGGTTAGTAAATTGATGGATCTGAGTTGGTTTAAGGGGGATTAAGTTCATTATTTGACTCCAGTCAACTTTTGAGCAAGAATTACCACAGAAAGTGTTTGCAATTATCGACCTTTTCAACGGGTTTAAAAGTATCAAGTCTACTTTGCTTTTTTCATACTGTTACCGTTATCAGATTCTTCAATGAATTTAAAGTACATAAAGTGTGAACCTCAAGTTTGATTGAGATAATAAAGTGCTAGAGTTTTCGTTTTTTCGTTTTTTCGTTTTCTGGGTTCATTTTGGATCTGAGAACTCTATCAGTGTATAAATTGTGACAATTTTTGGGGATTATTGTAAGGTTTAGTTGGTTAGTTTTGGTGCTTGGAAGCAAGCAATAGTCAATATTGTTGTCGAGAATAAGAAGGTGTTGTTTGCGGATTGACATTGTTGTGACTTGTGGATCTGCAGTGTGAGTTAACGAAGTTGTGAAGCATGATGAGACTTCTTGGAAGTCTCACGATGCTTCACCTTATAATGTGGCTGTTTTGGTTGCCGCGATTAGGTAGCTCTCAGTTAACTGAGATTTCTACGGGGGCTGCGCGAGCACTAGATGCACTCCTCCAGGATTATGCTTACCGTGCATTTGATAGCCCGAGAATTAGAACAGGTGTTATCTATGATGGAAATGTCCCCTCCAATTTGACAGGGATTAAGGTGTCTGGATTGAGGCTTAGGAGTGGGAGCTTAAGGAATCGAGGATTTGCAATGTATAAAGAGTTCGATATACCTGTTGGTGTTGTTGAACAGCCTTTCGTTGAGAGGCTTGTTCTGGTCTACCAAAATTTAGGCAATTTTTCTTCAACCTATTACAACTTATCTGGCTACATGTACTTAGCTCCTGTATTGGGTCTTCTTGCTTATGATGCATCAAACTTGGCCGCAACCAACTTGCCTGAGTTGGATATCAACGCTTCCGGTCAGCCCATTTCTATAAGATTTTCAGATGTCAAGCCATTGCCTGTCGGATCATCTCCAAAGTGCGTTTCAATTGACTTACAAGGGTCTCTGAATTTCAGCAATGTTCTGTCGGATAACACATGCACAACCTTTCAACAAGGACATTTCTCTATTGTGACCGAGTCAATTGCTCCTGCTCCATCTCCTCCAACAGAGACGCCCACAATTCATCATAACGGAAAGAAGAACAAGTCGAAAGTGTGGATAATTGTTGGTTCGATAGTAGGAGGACTATTATTGATGTTTCTTTTAGGTCTTTTGATAGTGTGTGCAAGCAAGTACAAACAGAAGAAGAAAATGCAACAAATGGAGAGGGCTACAGAGGTTGGAGAATCGTTACAAATGACGAAAGTCGGAAGCACAAAAGCACCGGCTGCTACGGTAACACGAACGCAACCTACACTAGAAACTGAGTACAGACCCTAATTTTTCCAATCTGCACAAGCTCTGGTTCACATTCTTGTTTTGTTGATGTTATATATTCTTCCAACCACACTGCTTTTTCTTGGTGTTGCTTTATTCAATTATTTAGTAGAGGTTTATGATAGCAATGTGAATAGTAACATGGTTATTGTATAAACACAATAATCTTTTAGCTTTCACATTAGCCATTCATATTTGTGGTGGTTTGTTATGGGTGTGCATTTATTCTTTTAGCATTTGTTAGAGTTCATTGTGATCAAAGTTTGTACAATTCATTGACAAGAAATAAAATATTTTGATAGTTTTTTCTTTTTTAGCTTATTATGAATTCTTTGCTGACACCAAAGATATCACATCTAAAGTAAGATGATTGTGTTTCAGTAAATGTCATTTGCTTTTTGTTGGTTTTAAGCTGTCCATGGAAGTTTCAGGTTAAAAAGTACAATTGCATAGTGCTTTATTTCTCACCTGGTGTCCGGTATCTACATTGGGGGATAAAGTGCTCTTGTGATTTCGTATCGAAGGGGACTTGAATTCGAGATATCTTGATTAAGGATGAAAGAGTACTTGTTACTTCATCACAACTATTATTGATAGGTACTCGCATTCGGCGATAAAGTGCTTCTGTGATTTCGTATTCAAGGGGATTTGAATTCGAGACATCTTAATTAAGGATGAAAGAGTACTTACTACTCCACCACAATCATTATTGTAGGTACCCACATTGGGCAATAAAGTGCTTCTGTAATTTCGTATCAAGGGGACTTGAATTTGAGACATCTTGATTCAGGATGAAAGAATATTTATTGCTCCACCATAATCATTATTGACAGGTACCCCCATTGGGCGATAAAGTGCTTTTGTGATTTCGTATCCAAGGAGACTTGAATTTGAGATATCTTGATTAAGGATGAAAGAGTATTTACTAATTCACCATAACTACTATTGATAGGTACTCGCATTTGGCGATAAAGTGCTTCTGTGATTTCGTATCCAAGGGGATTTGAATTCGAGACGTCTTAATTAAGGATGAAAGAGTATTTACTACTCCACCACAATCATTATTATAGGTACCCACATTGGGCAATAAAGTGCTTCTGTAAATTCGTATCAATGGGACTTTAATTCGAGACATCTTGATTGAGGATGAAAGAATACTTATTGCTGCACCACAATCATTATTGATAGGTACCCACATTGAGCGATAAAGTGCTTCTGCGATTTCGTATTCAAGGGGACTTGAATTCGAGACATCTTGATTGAGGATGAAAGAATACTTATTGCTGCACCACAATCATTATTGATAGGTATCCACATTGAGCGATAAAGTGCTTCTGCGATTTCGTATTCAAGGGGACTTGAATTCGAGATATCTTGATTGAGGATGAAAGAGTACTTACTGCTCCATTATAGTCATTATTTATAGGTTCCACATTGGGCGATAATGTGTTTCCGCGATTTCATATCCAAAAAAATTTAAATTCGAGACAACTTGATTAAGGATGATAGACTACTCATCATTCTTCCATAACTATTATTGGTACACATGCAGAATTATTGAGACACCAAACACTCTTATGGGTAAAAGCAAAAGAATCCAATTCACAACTGGACAGATTTAGCAGTCTATTTTGCTCTTTGATGATTATTAACATAGATACAAAACACTACTAATAATAAAATATCATCAAAATAAAAGTTTCTAATGGAAAGGAACCAAGTTTGCACATGTCTTGTTTAACTAGTAGTGCCACTAAAATAAAATTTAAGGTTGGTCTAATGATCAATGAGATGAGACGAACCTCGAAGATGAGGGTTATAAAAAAAAAATATTAGGTGATTTTATTTGATTCATCAAAACTTGTAAAGTAGCATATATTCAATGGAATATAAGACCTACATAAATCGATACATAAATGTGTTATTTAACTTTATCTTTCTTCAATTTTGGCTCTGCACAAGGATATTTTTGAACATGTACAAAATTAAATAAATAGACACATGATTTCTACGTGATATAATATATGTAGGACACCACATAAGATGTAAATTGTCATGTAAAATATTCGGTAGGACGTGTATGTCTATTTATGCATCATACCTAAAATTAAAAAACATAAATATAAATTAAAATTAAATTAAATGATATATTTATTTATTTTGCATAAAATTAAACAGTTATGATTAATTGACTAGGGACTTGTTGTATATGTTATTAATAACAAACTTTTAAAGGAAAGGGCCAAGTGGAAGAAGGTGGAATAGACAGATAAGAGTGAAAGCCATGAACCACTCATTATTTATCATAATTGGCTGAATGCTGATGAGTGATGATGGTAAATATATAGTGTGGACTGTGGACTTACTTCCCACTACATCTGTACTGCACTCTGGTGTTCACGTTATCGGGAGGTCACAGGTTAAAACTGTATACGTGATAAGGTTGTGTAATAGACTTTTATATAGTTGATAGAATCAGAAACTCGATTAAACTTAATAGTTTTTATACCTTTTAACTTAAAATCCAGTTATTAATTCTTGAAAATTAATCATTTTAAAAATTTTCAAGTTAGAGATTCTGACTTCGCTTCCGATGAACCAGCTCATTTTTTTTTTAGGATTTTTTGTATACATACAGAGAGTCAGAGACAAACTTCTTTCAGTATGGCTGTGGACATATTACTTACAACTGTATTGCTGCAGAATGCAGGATTTAATGAAATCAAAGGGTAATTAATTCAAATTGGAATTGACTTTGGTATCTATATAGTCAAAGAATCAAACATTTCAACTCAGGAATTTAATAAAGGAAAATTCCAAACATATAAATGCCCCCATTGTTTAAAAAAAAAAAGAAACACTGATTTTCAAGTGGTTTCCTTATGGGGATTGAGGACTACTCGGGGCGGAGCTAAGTAAAATTCGGAGATTACTGAAATCTTCTTAAATGAGATTTTCTCTTAAAAATTAAAAATTTTTATTAATAGAGAGAATATTACCATTTTTTTTTCAATATGATATGGATGATTGACTCACTCCATTCTAGAAATGATAGCAGAAGTCCTTTGATAGCTGAGATTACTATGATTATTTCATCATTTTTTTTTACGCAATTTATAAATTTAGAAATTCATCACTTTTTCACTTTAAATCGATAAATTTGATAATCTCTTTTATGACTTTTTCTTATTTTAAATTTCTCAATAAAAATTTTGATTTCTCCGTTAGAACTAGCCATCGATACTGTATGTAAAAATCCTGATCTCCCTTTAATATATTTTCCACATTTATCGGTATTTGCCTTTATATTTATGACATTATGCATATGTCCTACTCATATGTAGGAACTATTCCAACTTAACATTCCGCTTCTGCCTTCTTGTTCTTCACTAATACAATTTCAATCTTGTCTCGAATATCTGTATTTTTTATTCTATTTGTCTTGGTATTCCCACACCAACATTCTCATTTTCATAACTTCCATTTCCTGAACATGTGAATTCATGACTTGTCAACTTTCTGCTCCACACAACATAATTTCCCTATCAACTAGATCTAAATATTTTTTATTAGTAAAATGAATATATTTTTATATATAATTTTATGAAAAGTAATCTAATGGAGTAAATGATACATATATGTCGAAAAGAGATTCTTGAGTACCATTATCCTACGGTATATATATTTACCCTTATTTAGTAGTGGGACTTGTATTGAACGAACCTAACATCAACTGTTTATACGGAATGCAACACAAAATATAGATAAAGCTTTTCAATTTATAACTCTCAATGTTGCTATTTGATTGCCTATTAACTACGTGGAAGTGCACTCACACCAAGCTCTTCTCAATTCTTTCAAGAATCTGTATTTCGGATCGTTTCTTTTATATTTCTCTTCTCTTCATTTTTCATAAGTTCTAGCTTGAATTGGAAACAAGTGTGTATGCGTTTAAAATTTCGTTCATGAAAAACAGCAAATAGGAAAGAAAAAATAGCAAGCAAACAATAATATTTGAATTTGAATTCATGCGAGGTTACAATCTTTATGAAATCTTTAATAAAAGATGTAATCCTCTGATTTTTCTCTTCACAATGATTTGATGGAATACTTGCGGCTCAATACTTAGAGAAAACTTCTTTCTATGCGAAAGACTTGCAGATCACCGCTGAAAAGTAACTATATATTTTTGTATGTATGTATTTGTGTGTCTTTTGATCAGAAGAAAACCTTTTTATATATGCATAATTTAGGATTTTAGGGGTATTTTAGTCTGAGCAATTTTTTATCGCTGTACCGAATATGAGTTTGTCAATTTAATGGACTGGCCCAAGTGATTTGGACTTGATTTAAGTCATACAATTTTGACTTAGATATTAATCCAACTTTATCAACCAGTAATTTGACTTGGTTAACGTATGATGATTTAAGATTTAATTCAAATTTAATACGAATTTATCAATAATATGTCAATGCGTACAACGTGTCATAGTTTAGAATTAATGGTTGGGATGTAATTTTTAAAGTTAAGTTCAAACTATAGTTATTTACTTCCATATATTTGCTTTTAAATATTTTTGCAATTTAATATATTTTATTGTAATCATTTTACGTAAAAATATTTAAGAAGCAAATATATTGAAGTAAATATACATGTGTCTCTTACACTACAAGAAAACTGTGAATTATATGGAGATTTATTTGAGAATTAGTATAAAAATTCGCAGAAAAATGAGTTTTCCTACAAATTTTCATACTAAATCCCAAATAAATCTCCTCCAACCTAGAACTTGGAAAAAAAGAAAAAGAGAAGAGAAATGCAGAGGAGCCGGATACTATATCTTTAGACTCTAGCAGTTTTTCCCCTCCTTTTTCCTATCTCTTTTACTTCTTGTTTTACTTTGATAAGTTTTGTGGTTAGATTTTCTTTGTTTTTGGTGAGTTGTTCTCCTTTCTTTCTCCTTTGTTTAAATAACTAGATGCAATAATTGATTTGATTTTAGAGAATGTATGGACGGGGGATTGTGTATTTGACAAATACAGATGTAATAAATTTTTAATAATATTTGCATGTCAACTTTTAACCAAGTTCTCAGCTTCTGTTGATTTTTCATTCAAATTTCTGCGTTGTGCTTTGATTTTACAGCTTTCATCGTTGCTCAAATTGAATTCTTTTTTTTCTCCTTCTTGGTTTCTCAATTTGACTTACCTTTGCTCTCTACTAAGGTAAAAGTCATATCACCAAATTCAAATGTAACAAACTTTAATTAAGATTCGAGTTACCTTTCACACAATTTGAAGGCATAATTAAGTAGTAATTCAAGCATTCCATGTGCATGTTGGATTTATTTTACCTTTGCATTTAAGCGTTCGATTTTACTTGTTCACGTCTAATAAGTAATATCACCTCTTAAATATAATAAGAGTAAATTACTTTCTTTGAGTGAACTTAAGCGTTCGATTTTACTTGTCCACATCTAATAACTCTTAAATATAATAATAAAAGTAAATTACTTCCTTTTAAGTGAACTTGTGAAGCAGTGCACACATATTCAGAAAAACATTCAAGGGCATACGTTTAACTATAATTTTAACTATTCCCTTTTTTTATGAAATCATAAATACAATTTTATATAAGTAGACTTCAATAAATGAAAGAACAAGTATGGATAAAATTCTTGAACTGGGAACTATTCAATTATTTTTGAACAATGAAAAAGCCTAAAAAATTCAGTAAATCTGAAATAGAGGAAGGAGAAACTAAGTGACAAATTATATCTTAATTTTCGAACAAGTAAAAGCGAACATTTATTTTTAATAGTAAACAGATAAAAGTGAGCGGAGAGTACTAAACAAACCCATGGTCTTCTGTGAAAACAATAAAATTAACTTGTATTGCAAGTGCCAAAGACAAACTTCCCCATTAGAAATAATGTTGCATTGCCAGAGCAATAGTTCTCTTATAATGAACCTATGGTGAGCTATACCAATCAAAGAACACATATTTTTACAGCATAAAAATTTACAGGAGGAGAAATAAATAAGATGCTCAATATCAAAATATTTATTCCTATTCTAACGAAACATAGAAAGAATCAACCTACTGATTCTTCTTCTGCGTTGTTGTGAACGAAGTAGATTTTCTAGCAGGTTTTTTATCTAGACTCGAAGTGTCTCGACAAGCATGATAATGACCAATCCAAGAATGCCTCCAGCAGCGCTCTGAAGAAAGGGTAACGAAACTTCAATACAGAGTAGTGAACCAGAGGAAGTAGATACAGTAGACAAAAGCAAAGGAGAAGAGGTCGGTTATATAGTTGTTGTTGCTCCATGTATAGATGTTGTATCGAATAGAATCACGAGGAAATCAAATTAAGAACTTACCATTGCTGGACTATGATAAAATAAGGCCCTGAATGCAAAATATCCCATCAGATAGCCAGTGAACATTGCTATACCAACATGTAAGCCTGCAACAAAGGACCAGAACTACTAAAAATTAAACTGCAAATCAAATTCTTAGCTACCTGACAGCGCACGCTTAACCTGAACAAGCGGAAGCGGAGCGAAAATGAAAAAAAAAACTGGTGAAGACCAGAGATATACAAGTTAGCGATAGTAGATCATTCCTAACTCTCTCACTCACATGGTCAAATCAGGACGCAGCAACTGTATCAACCTCACAGTTGATACTAGCAAATCAAGTGATATATCTTCATACGGATGCAGCTTAATGGGTTTGATTTTATTGTTCAATCAACTCATGAAATATCAGTCGGTACTGGAACTTCTCCCCAGAATTGCTGCACTACTCAAAGAAGCAAGATGAGAAAACAAAAGAAAACACTTGCTTCCACAACAAATATGTACATGCGTACAAACAGAAAAACAGAAGCAATAGGCAAAAAGCAAAAAAAAAACAAGTTTTAAAAAGAACTCATCAAATTTGTTTAAAGGACTTTTTCACCAAAGCCCCTATTGTGTCTAACATTCAGCTAAAGGAAAATAGGTCAAGTCCACAGGCACCCAGTTGTTCAGGAAGAATGTGAAATCAAAAATTGTCGAATACATAAATTAGAAATGAATGGAATTTAAGCTTTAGAAGAACCCTAATGAACAGGATAACATATTTTATTACTGGAACATTTTCAAACCTTGTTATATCAAAATTGTGTTCACACAAACATATATATATATATATATATATATATATATATATATCACCTGATCCTGCAAGTCTACAGTCTATACAACTTGCTTTTATGGCAATGATTGGTCGCTTGCTTGATTGGAAGGACTGATGCAATTATACCTTTCATTTTCTCGCTACTACTTACTATTACTACGTAAGTAGTTTCTTTTAGCATTCGTTTTTCTCGCTCATTACTTAGCTTTAGGAGTGGAGGAAACTGAACATCATTCAAGGAGTAAGGTTGCTGAATAAGAAAGTTCAAATTTTTCCAAAATATTAGCTTTATGAACTCACTTCTATTTAAATAAAATTTCAATTCTAATTCCAATCAATATCAATCAACTATGCCCTTAATTCATACTAATTGGGGTTATATGATTTCATTCCAATACCATGTCAATAAAATTGGAAGTAGAAAATACAACTTCAATAATGGCAATAGATGGAAAAGAGAGAGACTCACCAAAGCCCATTTGATGTTTATAAGAGGAAATGTTGATCAGTGAATGATATCAACAAACTTATGGTGTGAAGAATCTGTTAAAAGTTAGTTAGAAACAAGTTTAGTGTGAGTTAGTTAGTTAGTTACAAATAAATCAATAGATTAGTAATTGTATAAATATAATTAGAATGTAGTCCAGATTCAATGTAACAAAAACTCTTCTCTTTGAATATACTTCTTCTTCCTTTTCTCTGTAAAACTTCCATAATTCAAACTCCATCAATGGAGTTATCATGGTATCAAAGCTATGATCGTAGCTAGCTTCTGCTAAAATCAACTTCAGATGTTTAGATTCACCAACAGATCCAGGTGATTTCGAAGAAGAACAACATTCAAAGTCGTTTTTTGGTAAAAAAAAATGGCAGTTAATAGCTCAAGTGAAAGAGAAATAGCCGGTAATGGTGGAGCTGGTAGTGGTACTACAAATACAGCTTCATTCCCAGCAATTGATCATAATCATCCACTCTATCTTCAACATACTGATACTGCAGGTAATTCTTTAATTTCCTTACAGCTCACTGGTTCTGAAAATTATGCCTTATGGAGTAGATCCTTCAGAATTGGGCTGATAGGTGGAAGCAAGTTAGGATTTGTTGATGGAAGATTTCCTAAATCTAGATTTGAACCTGAATTACATGATTTGTGGGAGAAATGTAATGCAGTAGTACTAAGCTGGATAATGAATGCTGTCAGACCTGGTTTGATTAGTTCTGCCGTATATGCATCAGATGCAAGGAAAGTATGGATGGATTTGAAGGAACGCTTTGATACTGTTAATGGATCTAGGATTTTTCACTTACATAGAGAAATTCACACTCTGATTCAAGGCACTTTGTCTATTGCTGACTATCATTCTAGGTTAAGGGATCTTTGGGATGAGTATGACTCTCTAATGCCATGTCCTAGTTGTCCTTGTCCTGAGTCTAAGAAATTTGGAGAGCATTGTAAATATCAGAGATTATTGCAGTTTCTGATGGGATTAAATGAGTCCTATTCTCAACCTAGAAGTCAGATTCTAATGATGAGCCCTAATCCTACACTTAATAAAGCTTATGCACTCTTAGTTGATCAGGAAATTCAAAGAAATCTGAGTGTAGGTTCTAGCTCATCTGGTGTAATCGAAGGAACAACATTGTACTCTAACAGAAATGGAGCAAGTACATCTAAAAGTTCTACAGGCAGCTTGTATTCAGGTTCTACAAGCAATTCCTATTCAGGCAATGCTACACATGGATATAGTTCACAAAGTGAAGGTTATAGTGGTGGTGCAAGTTCTTCATCTTTTGGTAACAAGAGTAAGAAATTTCTCTTGCAGTGTGAACATTGTGGTTGCAGAGGTCACATAAAGGATCAGTGCTACAAAATTGTTGGTTACCCTGCTGATTTTAAGTCTAAAAGAAAACCTCTTAAGTCTGGAGTGTTTGCAAACCAAGCTGAACATGTATATTCAAATGATTCTGAAGTTAGAGGAAGTACTACTCAAAGTGCAGGAGTTACAAATGCAAATTCACAATCAGGAGCCTTCTTTACTCCAGATCAGTATAAGCAAATTTTGAAGATGTTAACTACTCATGGTCATGATTCTACAGCTCAGTCTTCAGTCAATGTAGCTGCTGTTAATGATGCAGGTAGTTCTCTTAAAGCATTTCTATGTGCATATGAAGGTAATAGGTGGATAATTGACACTGGAGCCACTCATCATATCACTTCTAAGTTGCAAACTCTTATTAATGCTAAGCAAGTGCATACTCATACAGATAGTAGTGTTCATCTACCTGATGGTAAAGTGATTCCTGTGTCTCATGTTGGAACAACCAGTGTGTTAGACAATCATTCTATATCCAATGTATTGTTCTTGCCTGACTTCAAGTTTAATCTACTGTCAGTATCCAAGATCACTAAAGAGTTACATTGTATGGTTGGCTTCTTTCCTGATTTTTGTATATTTCAGGACCTCTCCACTGGTCAGGTGAAGGGGATGGGTAAATAAGAAAATGGACTCTACATACTTCAGGAAGGACCAAGCCATTCTATTCCAAAGGAGCTGGTCAATAGTAATAGAGGTCTTGATCAGTCCAAGTTCAATAAAACTGTTGTTAATTCTGTGTCTCAATCTGTTGGTCTTGATGTTTGGCACAAACGTTTAGGTCATGCTCCTATTGATATTATAAGGAAGCATGAATCTCTTAAGAATCTCAGAAGCACTAGTCATTCACATTGTACTGTATGTCCTCTAGCTAAACATACAAAACTTCCTTTTCCTGTCAGCTCTCATATGTCTAAGAATGTGTTTGAATTACTACATTGTGATGTTTGGGGTCCCTATAGGGTACCAACTCATAACAATAAAAGATACTTTGTTACAATTGTGGATGATTTTAGTCGATACACTTGGATATACTTAGTTACTTCTAAAGCTGATACAGTTGTAGTGCTGAAACATTTTCTTCTTCAAGTTCAGAATGTGTATTCCACTAAGGTTAAAATATTGAGAACTGATAATGGATGTGAGTTCTTCAGTACTGCTGTTCAAAGTTTATTAAGCGAGTTGGGAATTCTTCACCAGAGTACATGTGTTTATACACCTCAGCAAAATGGGATAGCTGAAAGAAAACACAGAACTATTCTAGCTGTGGCCAGAGCTCTCAGGTTTCAAGCATCTATACCTCTCAGATTTTGGGGTGAATGTGTCATGACTGCTGTGTATATTCTGAACAGACTTCCATCTAGGCTTCTAGCCTACAAGTCTTCTTTTGAGAAACTCTATATCCATTCTCCATCACTTACTCACATCAAAGTATTTGGTTGCCTTTGTTATGCTGCTTGTCCAAATGTGCAGGACAAATTTTCATCCAAAGCTATTCCTGCAGTGTTTATGGGGTATTCTTCCACACAGAAGGGTTATTTACTATATGATTTACACAATCATTCTTTCTTTGTGAATAGAAATGTAGTATTTCAGGAACATATATTTCCCTTCAAACATATCCAAACTTCCTCCAACCCAATGTTTCCAGTTCTTGACATGTTACCACCTGATGATGTTTCCTTATCAACACATATAACTGCAACTCCTCCTTCAGACAATGTTACTTCTTCCTCTAGATCTTCTTCTCCTCTTTCAGTTGTACCTCTAAGAAGATCCGGTAGAACAAGTAGGCCTCCATTATGGCTACAGGATTTTGTGACACATACTATGAATACTAGGTGTTCCTATCCTCTATCCAATCATATTACTTACTCCAACTTGTCATCTGGCTATCAACAAGTGTTACAAGCTTATTCAGCTGTAAGTGAACCTACTTCTTTTAAAGAAGTTGCCTCTGATCCTGACTGGGCGAAAGCAATGGAACTTGAAATAGCTGCATTGGAGAGTAATCAGACTTGGACTATTGTTGATTTACCACCTGGTAAGAAGTCTATTGGCTGTAGGTGGGTATATAAAATCAATTTTTTAGCCTCTGGAGAAGTGGAGAGATTCAAGGCTCGACTTGTTGCCAAGGGTTATAATCAGAAGGAAGGGGTTGATTATGGAGAAACCTTCAGTCCTGTGGCTAAAATGGTGACAGTCAGAGCTGTTGTAACTCTTGCTGCTTCTAAAGGCTGGTATATCTATCAAATGGATGTCCATAATGCCTTTCTGAATGGTGATTTACTAGAAGAAGTATATATGGATATTCCTCTTGGTTTTGCTAGACAGGGGGAGTGTAAGAAGGTCTGCAAATTAAACAAATCTTTGTATGGTTTAAAACAAGCGCCAAGGCAGTGGAATGTCAAATTAACTGAGGCATTAGTACAAATGGGATTCAAACAAAGTCACTATGATTACTCATTATTTACAAAGGATGTTGATGGTGATATTGTGATTGTGTTGGTATATGTTGATGATCTACTGATCACAGGAAGTAATCATCAATTTTTGAATGATACTAGACAGGAAATTCAAATGAAGTTCAAAATGAAGGATTTAGGGGAACTAATGTTTTTTCTAGGAATTGAGTTCTCTAGATCTAGTGAAGGTATCTTGATGACACAAAGGAAGTATGCACTTGAATTGATCTCAGATTCTGGACTAGGAGGAGCTAAACTTGCTGGCACACCACTAGAAGTCAACAAAAAGCTCACCTCTCTTCAATATGATGAACAGGTTTCTAATGAATGTATCAAGAGTGACAGAGTTCTTACAGATCCTACAAAGTATCAAAGACTTGTAGGTAGGCTTCTTTATCTCACCATGACAAGACCAGACTTAGCTTTCTCTACTCAAGTTTTAAGTCAGTTCATGCATTGTCCTAAGGAATCTCATATGGAGGCAGCACTGAGAGTGGTTAGGTATATCAAAGAAGCTCCCGGTTTAGGATTGCTAATGCCAACAGACAATACTACACAACTTACTGCTTTTTGTGACTCTGATTGGGGAGCATGTATGGAGACTAGAAGATCAGTTACAGGGTATTTGGTTAAGCTAGGAGAAGGATTAATCTCTTGGAAATCTAAGAAACAAGAGACAGTTTCAAGAAGCTCAGCAGAGGCAGAGTTTAGAAGCATGGCTGCTTGTGCAGCTGAAGTTACTTGGCTGATAGGTTTGTATAAAGAATTAGGAATCAATGTGAGTCTTCCTGTGAATATGGTGTGTGACAGTAAAGCAGCTATTCAGATTGCTGCAAATCCAATATTTCATGAAAGAACAAAGCATATTGACATTGATTGTCATTTTGTTAGAGAAAGAATTTGTCAAGGAATGTTGAAGACAACACATGTAAACACCAAGGAGCAATTAGCTGATCTGCTTACTAAAAGTTTGGGAATGATACAACATGATGTATTGTTAAGTAAACTGGGAATGAAGAATGCCTTTCAACCATAAGTTTGAGGAGGGGTGTTGATCAGTGAATGATATCAACAAACTTATGGTGTGAAGAATCTGTTAAAAGTTAGTTAGAAACAAGTTTAGTGTGAGTTA